TTTAAAAAAAAAAAAAACATCATTAGCCTCCTTCTCTGTGTTGACCTTTGCAGCAATGGTGTAAAATCTCTAATAGGTAAAACTGCTTGTACCGTAGCGCAAGGCAGCGGCTCCAAGCATTACCAGTTGTTATTGTATTCTTCACCACTGTGCACTCATAATTTAGCGGGGAAAAAAAAAAAAAGAAAGAAAAATCTTGATGAAGCAGAAAAACTTATTTTTTTAAACCTTAGTCCTTGAGTACATGTAAGTACTCAAAGATGGACACTTTGGCTGCATGCTGAAGGACAATGGTTACCTTGAAAAGCACTGTGTAACTGAATTGTGAGCTGCTTTTATCATGGGACACCAGCTTTATTTGAAAAACTGGCTGACAGACAAACTATGGTTATTCAGACTTTAGTATTGGCAGACATCCTCTTGGAAAGGAATGAAATAAGCCTGTCACTTCAAGGAAAATAAATGATAGTGCTGCCAATAATAAAACTTAAGCTTTTAGAAAAATCAGAACTTCAGAAAAGTTGTGTCACCACAATAAGCTTGAAGCTTTGCCAAATTTAAAGATATTTCTGAGGGGCACCAGGCAGGCTCAGCAGCTGTAGCATGACTCTTGATCTCGGGGTTGTGGGTTCGAGCCCCACGCTGGGTGTAGAGATTACTTTTTAAAAAAATCATTTAAATAAATAAACAAATATTTCTGAGAATAGTGGTACTAATAAATGTGTTTTTTGATACTGTATAATGAAAATTTAACATTTGGAAGATCTGCATAGCCCAATGCATGAGTACCTTCTAAATAACCAATGTACGGTGTTACAAAATTATGCATAGGTCAAGACTCATTCTCAGTGCAAGATATGCCAGTGGATTTTAATGTAACAGAGCGTGCAAAGTTTACTGACCTACTTTCAGATACCACCCTGCAACTAACTTTTAAGAAATCACTACTCATTGGGGCGCCTGGGTGGCTCAGTTGGTTAAGCAACTGCCTTTGGCTCAGGTCATGATCCCGGAGTCCTGGGATCAAGTCCCACATCGGGCTCCCGGCTCAGCGGGGAGCCTGCTTCTCCCTCTGACCCTCTCCCCTCTCATGCTGTTTCTCTCTCTCTCTCTCTTTCTCTCAAATAAATAAATAAATAAAATCTTAAAAAAAAAAAAAAAAAGAAATCACTACTCATTGACTTTTGGTGTAGTAACAAAGAATAATCACAATGGTATGAAAGACTATTAAAAGACGCCTCCCCTTTCCATTTACTACAGAACTGCGTGAGGCTGAATTTTCTTCCCAATACTTTAACCAAAACAATATATCACAATGGATTGAATGAAGATATAACATTAAAGAGATTTGCAGAATTTGGGGTGCCTGGCTGGCTCAGTCGGTAGAGCACACAACTCAATCTCAGGGTCTTGAGTTTGAGCCCCATACTGGGTGTAAAGATTACTTACAAATAAATAAAATCTTAAAAACTAATAAAGAGATTTGCAGAACTGTAGAAAAATGGCATTCTTCCCACTAATATTGTTTTAAAATGGGTATCTTTC